TCTATTTCAAGAAAAAAAAAAAGAGAAAAAGAAAAGAAAAATTGCATGCAATTTTGGAATAAACATTAATAACATTTATTAAAATATAAGTTAAAGAAGGTCAAACATCATTTTTAATTTGACAGTGTTTTCCATGTAGTTCACCATATCAGATAATTCTGTTCATCATTTTTTTGGATGCTGCATTGGACCTCTGTAACATCCAAAACTTTGGGATAAAAAAACAAAAAAGACAATTTTTTTTTTTGCTGAAATGTGAATTCGGGAATCTTGTCAAATATATCAAAGGGTTAAAACGCTTTACCACAATAGAATCACAGGTCGCCATAAAATAGTAGTCATTCACTTAGACAAAGTGATAATAAAATAATTTTAAATAATAAAATCATTTACTGCTTGACATAGGAGATTGATTTTCCCAATCTAAACACCTGAGAAAGACAGCATGAGAAGAATTCTCACTCTACTCTCTTTGTTTCCAAATTTATTCAAAAGGTGATCAAAAACATTTTACTCTGTCATATTAATAATGTACAAGGCCGGCGCGGTGTCTCAAGCCTGTAATCCTAGCACTTTGGGAGGCTGAGGTGGGTGGATTACCTGAGGTCAGGAGTTCAAGACCAGCCTGGCCATCATGGTGAAACCCCATCTTAAAAAAAAAAAAAAAAAAAAGTACAAAATTTTTGTCCAGAGAAGTAAACTTTTACTTTTGTATTAGTCTCTTATCTATACTGAAGCAAATGATAATAAGGCTTTATAAATAAATCCAGCAAATTTGTCATTTCTGACCACTCTAGATTTCCATACATGTTTTACAATCTTTTTTTGTTTGTTTGTTTGTTTGTTTGTGAGAAGAAGTCTTGCACTATTGCCCAGGCTGGAATGCAGTGGCGCGATCCTGGCTAACTGGAACCTCCTACTCCCAGGTTCTAGCAATTTTCTGCCTCAACCTCCTGAGTAGCTGGGATTACAGGGCCACCACGCCCGGCTAAGTTTTGTATTTTTTAGTAGCTATGGGGTTGCACCGTCTTGGCTTGGCTGACCTCGTGATCCACATGCCTTGGCCAAAAGAAAAGAAAAGAAAAGCTGAAATTCTAAAACATATGTTATAGTACTCTTTATTTATGTATAGCCATGTGCAATACATATGTTATTTACAAATGCATATGACCTTATACACAAGGTTGAATGCAAATACCCTCTGGGGTGGGCCTGGCTCAGTTCAGGGAGGAAGCTCTGCATGAAAATACTGCAGCCTAGGCAGGCTGTCACTTTTTCTTCAGACTCATCTAATCCACATCTGTCACTCAGAACCTGAGAGGTGGGGTTTTAAACGTTATCCAATCAGCGACGCTGGGCAGTGAATCGTCCAATCAGGCATGCAGCTGAAGCAGACAGGACGGCTGCCACGTTCGTCTCTTTGCAACCCGAACTCCAGGTCTCTTCTTTATTCCTCTGTGTTCTCGGCTCCTAAAGGCCCACCCTTTGTGGCCCCCTGACCCGCAGGCATTGCGGGCTCCACAGCTAAGACGCTGGGATCCTCTGGAAGCCTAGAAATGGTGAGAGTGCCAGTCCGACATCGGGAGGGAGAGGAAGGGGTTGGGTAGAACCAGTGGGAAGCGGCTGTGGCGGGACTCAGTCCTCACCGCAATCCGCCCTGAGTTGTCTTTGCCCAGCTCGGCCTCAGTCCCCTTCAGCCATAAAATGGCCGCTGCACTGACAGCGGCGCCGGGTGTCCTGTCTCTTCCCTGCGCAGTGACTGAGCCCTGGCCTGGAGCCCTCTCTGGGCAGCTTTGCACCCGCTGTGCCGCGTCACTCCCGGATTGTGCAGGAACCATGAAAGAGTCGTCAGGGAAGAATCCTGACTTGGCGTGCGGCTTCATGAATTAAAAGAGCTTTGTTCTGTGGGGTTCCCAGTTCCTATTTCCTCCTATTAAAAATGTATGGGAGTCTCTGCAAAAATATTAAAGAATTTAATCGAAGAGTGGTTCTAGAATTGTAAAGCACTCAACTATGGTTTGGTTTGTAGTTTGCGGTCTATGGGAGAGGCTTGAAGGAAAGTTTTTTATAAAATGCACAATGAAGAAACCCGAATTTAGTAATTGATTAGGTACAGTTACGTGATACCTGTTTTGTTGTTGTTCTGAGATGGAGTCTTGCTTCTTCGCCCAGGCTGGAGTGCAGTGGCATGATCTCTGGTCACTGCAACCTCCGCCTTTCTAGTTCATGCGACTTTTCTGCCTCAGCTTCCTAAGTAACTAGGACTACAGGCGTGAGCCACTGTGCCCGGCTAATTTTTGTGTTTATATATATATATATATATTTTTTTTTTTTTTTTTTTAAGTAGAGATGGGGTTTCACCTTGTTTGACAAGGGTGGTCTCAAAGTGCTGGGATTACATGAGCCACGGTTCCTGATCTGTTATCCACCTTTTTTTTTTTTTTTTTGAGACGGAGTCTTGCTCCGTCATCAGGCTGGAGTGCAGTGGCCCAATCTCGGCTCCCTGCAACCTCTGCCTCCTGGGTTCAAGCGATTCTTCCGCCTCAGCCTCCCGAGTAGCTGGGACCACAGGCACGTACCACCATGCCAGGCTATTTTTTCGTATTTTAAGTAGAGACGGGGTTTCACCATGTTGGCCTGGATGGTCTTGATCTCTTGACCCGGTGATCTGCTCGCGTTGGCCTCCCAAAGCGATGGGATTACAGGCGTGAGCCACGGTGCCGGCCTGTTACTCACTTTTTAACAACAGCCGTTCTGACTAGTGTGAGATGATATCTCACTGTAGTTTTGTTTGCATTTCTCTAATGTGATGAACATTTAAACAAATATTTTTGCCAGTCACATATTTGTATTTTCAAAAACATCTCTTCATGTTTTTTTTTTTTTTTAGATATGGGTGTCACCATGTTGGCCAGGCTGGTCTCGAACTCCTGACCTCATTTGATCCACCAATCTCGGCCTCCCAAAGTGCTGGGAATACAGGCTTGAGGTACCATGCCCGGCCTGTTTGTTTTTTGAGACACTTTTACTCTTGTTGCCAGGCTGCAGTGCAATGGTGCGGTCTCTGCTCTCTGCAACCTCCGCCTCTCACGTTCAAGCGATTCTCCTGCCTCTGCCTCCAGAGTAGCTGGATTACAGGCGTGTGCCACCACACCTGGCTAATTTTTGTAATTTTAGGAGAATGGGGTTTCACCATTTTGGTCAGGCTGATCTGTAACTTCTGACCTGGTGATCCGCCTGTCTCAGCCTCCCAAGGTGCTGGAATTACAGATGTGAGCCACCGTGCCCGGCCCCCATCTGTTTGTGTTTTTTGCCTACTTTTTAATTCAGTGGTATGTTGTTTTCTTGTCAACTTGTTTAAGTTTTTAAATTCTGGACATTAAATCTCCATAAGAAAATAGTTTGCAATTTTAAAAAATTTTCTAGATTGTCTGTTTAGTCTGTTAATATTTTCTTTGCTGTGCAAAAGCTCTTTATTTCCATTTGTCAATTTTTTCTTTTATTGCAATTCCTTTTGGTATCTTCATCATAAAATCTTCGCTAGTTTCTAGGCCTAGAATGGTATTTTTTAGGTTTATTTTCCAGATTTTTTTTTTTAAATTATAAGTTTTGCATTCAAGTCTTTAACTCATCTTGAGTTGATTTTTATATATGGTGTAAGGAAGGTGCCCAGTTTCAATCTTCTACATAGTACTAGCTAGTTCTTCCAGCACCATTTATTAAATGGGGAATTCTTTTTACATTCCTCTCATCAGCTTTGTCAAAGATCGCGTAGTTGGCCCACCTCCGCCTACCAAAGTGCTGGGATTACAGGTGTGAGCCACCTTGCCAGGCCATCAACATAGAAATCTTAAAGACCCCCCCTTTGAGAGTGTGGCTCGGTAAGCTTTTCAGATCTTGTTTGGTGAATGCTGCAGTTATGTGAGAGGCTCCAGGTGTAAATAGAATCTGATGACAGAATCTGTAAGTGTAAACAAGCATCTTAAGAGTGAGATCAAGCCGGGCACGGTGGCTCATGCCTGTAATCCCTACACTTTGGGAGGCTGAGGCGGGTGGATCATGAGGTCAAGAGATCGAGACCGTCCTGGTCAACATGGTGAAACCCTGTCTCTACTAAAAAAAATACAAAAAATTAGCTGGGCATGGTGGCGTGTGCCTATAATCCCAGCTACTCAGGAGGCTGAGGCAGGAGAATTGCCTGAACCCAGGAGGCGGAGGTTTCGGTGAGCCGAGATTGCACCATTGCACTGCAGCCTGGGTAACAAGAGCGAAACTCGGTCTCAAAAAAAAAAAAAAAAATTCAGAGACTCAGACTTTATTTCATATGTTCTTAAAATAAAATCTGTACAAGATCTTCAGTTTATTTTACATATTAAAATTTAAGAGGTGCTTTTTAAATTTTTTTTATTTTTAGATTGAGTCTTGCTTTGTCACCGAGGCTGGGGTACAGTCTCAAGTAGCTGGGACTACAGACGCTTGCCACCATGCCTGCTAATTTTTTGGTATTTTTAGTAGAGACAGGGTTTCACGATGCCGGCCAGGCTGGTCTCAAACTCTTGACCTCATGATCCGCCTGCCTCGGCCCCCAAAGTGCTGGGATTACAGGCATGAGCCACCTCACCGAGGTTTAAGAGGTGCCTTCTAATTCAACATGTCTTCTTTGTCCGAAAGGTATAGACAGCTCATTCTTTGTGATGCAAATATAGAACTAAAACCGCACATGTTTGTGTTTATGCCTTTAGTTTTGTACTTTAATACTCATTAAAGTATTTATACACAAACACACACATACACACACACACACTGGTTTTGTAAAGCTTATATCAGTCTCTTCTCTCAGAGTTAGAGAATATATTAGAGAATATTTCTTTGTTAAAAATTGTTAGATAATTTCATTCATTCCTATAAGTCTGAACCAATTTTCTTTACTCTCTTATTTAACCTTAAATGATAAATTCTGCCCATGGACACTTGTAAATATGTGTTTGTGTGTTTTTCAGGGGCCGTTGACATTTAGAGATGTGGCCATAGAATTCTCTCTGGAGGAGTGGCAATGCCTGGACACAGCACAGAAGGAATTGTATAGAAAAGTGATGTTAGAGAACTACAGGAACCTGGCCTTCTTGGGTGAGAATAACTTTAATACACAATTCCTCATATACCCTAAAGGTTTCATTTCTCTATTTTTATATAATAATTTTTGGTAATTAATGCTTTCCATAAATGAATTTCTAATCCTTGTTTTCAAAAAATCTTGAGGAATGGTTCATGTAGAAAAGACTTCTTCAAGATGTTTTATCTTGGCCTGAACCTTTTACATTTCTGAGTTGGTCTGTATCCTTCACTGTAGAGGAGTAGTAATTTCAGAAATTTCGTGGTATAAAATATTGTCGCCCCCATGTAAAAATCGGCTTGCCACCACTACTTTTTGACTCATAAGTACTGGGTAGTGAAATTAAGAACCTACTAATTTAAAATATTTTCTAAATGTTAAGAACTTTCTGTCATTAAATAGTATTTTGGGATTTTTTCTAGAATATTCTATGACATCTCTTTAGTAAGCACGGTAGAGGTTGGTAATTAGAGAATCTGAGAGATTCATGTAATTTATTTTTAATAAAGCAGGTATTGCTGTCTCTAAGGCAGATCCGATCACCTGTCTGCAGCAAGAAAAAGATCCCTGGAATATGAAGAGACACAGTATGGTAGCCACACCCCCAGGTAGGTGAGAATGAATGAAACAGTTGACATAGTTGAAAAGTGGGAAGATTAAAAAAAAGGAAAAAAAAACCCAGACAGTCCCTACAGAGTGATTTGGGAAGTTGTGTTCCAAAGCAAATAGTTTCTGGGAAGCCTGAGGCGTTTGCTTGTTTTGTTGTTGTTTTCTCACATAGGGCCATCTTCTCTCTTATGCTTTCAAATTCTCGAATGAGTCTACTTTTGCTACATTGATCTTCCTTCAAGTTTACAGTGAGAGCCAAAATCCTCTTCATGGCATTAAAACGCAATACAATCTCACTGGTTTCTTATCGTTTTGTGGTATCATACAGATATCTGCATGATTTTTAGAAACTTTATTTTAAATTACTTTTTTAGTTCTCTTTTTGTATGATGTCTAAACTGTACTCGTCGTGGTCTGTTTTTGTTGTTTTGTTTTGTTTTGTTTTTGTTTTTGAGACAGAGTCTCCCTCTGTCACCCAGGCTGGAGTGCAGCGGAGCAATCTTAGCTCACCATAACTTTTGCCTCCCAGGTTCAAGTGATTCTTCTGCCTAAGCCTCTCAAGTAGCTGGGATTACAGGCATGTGCTGCAATGTTTGGCTGATTTTGTATTTTTAATAGATGGGGTTTTTCCATGTTGATCAGGTCGGTCTTGAACTCCTGACCTCAGGTGATCCACCCACCTCGGCCTCCCAAATTGCTGGAATTACAGCATAAGCCACCATGCCCAGCCTCTATGGGTTTTTATGTTAATTTTCTGCACATTCCATCCGGTTTTTATTACTATATTCTTGACATATAGTTTGGAATTAGAAAGTATAAATTATAAGTGGCCCTTTGCATTGTTGTTTTCCTCAGGATTGCTTTGGCTATTTGAAGTTTATTGTAGTTTCTTGTAAATTTTAAAAATGTAGTTTTTATTGCTGTGAAAACAAAGCCACTGGAATTTTGATAGGACGTTTGTTGAATATATAGATTACTTTAGAGAACATGGTACTTGAACAATATTTATTCTTTGAATGCATAAATATGAAATATTTTAAAATGTATGTCTTCTCTAATTTCTTTTATTGATTGGTTTTTTTGAGACAGAGTTTCACTCTTGTTGCCCAGACTGAAGTGCAGTGGTGCAATCTTGGCTTGCTGCAATCTCCACCTCCCAGGTTCAAGCCATTCTTCTGTCTCAGCCTCCTGGGTAGCTGGGATTTCAGGCACCTGCTACCCCTCTAGCTAATTTTTTGTATTTTTAGTAGAGATGGGGTTTCACCATGTAGGCCAGGCTATTCTTAAACTCCTGACTTCAGACAATCCCCCTTTGCCGCCTCAACCTCCCAAAGTGCTGGGAGTACAGGGGTGAGCCACCTCACCCGGCCTCTTTTATTGATTTATATCTTTCATTGTAAAGATTTCTTGCCTTTTTGGTTAAATTGTTAGAAATTCCTGATTTTAATTCTATTTTAAAAAGGATTGTTTTCTTGGCCGGCACCTCAGGACTGTAATCCCAGCACTTTTGGAGGCCAAGACAGGTGGATCACTTGAGTTCAGGAGTTTGAGATCAGTCTGGCCTATATGGTCTCTATTGAAAATATAAAAATTTAGCCAGGAGTGGTGGTGGGCTCCTATAATCCCAGCTACTCAGAAGTCTGAAGCAGGAGAATCACTTAAACTTGGGAGGCAGAAGTTACAGTGAGTTGAGATTGTGCCATTGCACTCCAGGCTGGGCCACAGAGCAAGACTCAGTCTAAAAAAGCAAAAACAAAAAAACAACAACAACAAAAAGGATTTTTTATTTCTGTTGTATCCAACAGCTTGTTTTAAGCGTATAAAACAGTAACATGAACATTTATGTTAATTTTACATTTTGTCAACTTAATGAATGTATTTGTTAGTTTAGGCAAATTTCAATGTACTGTCTTTTTTACTTTTTTTTTTTCTTTGAGATGGAATCTTACTCCGTCAGCAGGCTGGAGTGCAGTGGCTCGATCTTGGCTCACTGCACCCTCTGCCTCCTGTGTCGGGGCTATTCTTCTGTGTCAGCCTCCCTAATAGCTGGGACTACAGATGCGTGCCACCATGCCGAGGTAATTTTTGTTTTTTTAGTAGACAGGTTTCACCATGTTGGCCAGGATTGTCTCAATCTCTTGACATTGTGATCCGCCCACCTCGGCCTACCAACGTACTGGGATTACAGACTTGCGCCACCACGCCCGGCTGGCTATAGTTTTTTATATATAAGGTTATTCCTCAAACAACTTTTTACTTTTTTGTCTTCAATTTCAATGAATTTTTAAAAAATATTTTTTATTCATTATTTTGCCACATACTTCCAGTGCTATGTTAAAATAGAAGCATTGACAATGGGCACAATATAGTTTTATATTGGTGTCTGTGAAAACAACTCAAGTTTTCATACACTGATTTCAGGAGGTAAAGATCTTTTGTTGGCTTCTCAGGGTTCTAAAATGCCTCCGGGGTTTGTAGTGAATTGGGTTGTAACTTGGTCACAAGGCTTCTGTGTCTGCACTAGGGTCCACATTTAGTTGACTTGTTACAAGGGACTTAGGTAGTTGTAATTCCCAGTGGTTTTTGTTTTTTTTTTAAATTAAATATTCTTCAGGACTTTTATCTGTGGAGCACACACTAGGGTAGGTTTCTACAGTCAAGTCCATATAAAATGGCCCTTATATCAGGATGTGAATGAGTACGGCTTTCACTGAGTACCAGAGAAAATTTCTGGGTTTCTGTATAGACAGAATTGGCCATGAACGGTTACCCATGGAACTGGAACTGAGTCAGTGACCTGCTTCAGGGACCACAGTAAAGATCAAGGTCTATAGGCCTCCCTGCATGGCTACAAATGGGTATCTTCCTCCAGGTCTCAGGAATGCCAGGACCTCTCCCAAACTGTAACTGGGAGGAGTTTGAGATGGTTTCAGAGTAACTTCAGAATTATCTCCCAAACTGTAACTGCGGGGAGTTTGAGATGGCTTCAGAGTAACTTCAGAATTCTCAGTGAGACCAAGTTGGTGGGTCCATTTCTTGATCTGTAACCAAGACCAGGGGTCCTGTAGTTTCCCACGTGAATGAGGACCTGCCCTTTGAAAAGGAACACTCATCAGTCTCTGGCTTCAGCAGAGTTTCACAACTCCCTCCCTAAATCTCAAAGCTCTCTTAAAGGCGTTTATACTGGAGACAAGGTCTTGCTTTATTACCCAGGCTGGTCTTGAAGTCCAGGCCTGAAGCAGTTCTTCAACCTCTATGTACCATGTAGTTGTCATTACAGATTTGAGCCATGATGTTTACTCCCTCATAAGGCATTTATTTAAGAAATGGATGAGACATTTTCTTCTTGTGGGAGAGATAAGCAAATGTAGCTGTTTTCATTTTTTTAATCCTACTGAGGTTTCTCTTGCTATACATTTTTATTTTCTATCTTCTATTTCAAATTGATCTGTAATTCTAGATTAAGACATTTAGGACAGTATGCCAGAATGTACATGTAATGCCTAAAGTAATTAAGATAATTGGTAGACACTCCATGTGTAATAGTTACTTATAAATTTAAATTTGCTTCAGGCAAAAAAAAAAAAAACCACCCAGGATTTTTCCCTGCTTGTTTTTGCATATATCTAAATAATAATATAATTTATTGCTAAGTATTTGTTTAATATATCAGAGGTTCTAAATATAATTTGGAAAAATACATTTTTTAAATTTAGCAATGTAAGGCTATTTGTTGCTTCTAAAGTTGCATTACAGCCATTTTATTTTGTGTACAAATAGCTTATGTTTAAAACATAAGTTATCACTTCTTTCTTTTCTTTTCTTTTCTTTTTTTTTTTTTTTTGTTTTTGAGATAGAGTTTCAGTCTTGTTGCCCAGGCTAACCTTCTGCCTCCCCAGTTCAAGTGATTCTTCTGCCTTAGCCTCTTAAGTAGTTTTAATTACAGGTGCCCGCCACCATGCCCAGTGAAGTTTTTTGTATTTTTATTGGAAACCGGGGATTCACCATGTTGGCCAGGCTGGTCTTGAACTCCTGACCTCAGGTGATTTGCCTGTCTCAGCCTCGCAAAGTGCCAGGCTTACAGATGTGAGCCACTGCACTTGGCCACTTGTTTCTTTTTGATGCTTATTTATCAAAAGTTTCTCATTTGAATATTTTGTTTATAATTATACTGAAGCTCTCTGAAATTTTACTGCTACACAATGCATGCCGATGATTCAGAATACCTGCTTTCATGAGTACAGTTACAGTCAAATGCTGTAGTTAGACATATTGTTTAATGGGACATTAATGTTGCATACCAGATATTATGAGTACATATGTGTTTTATTGCTGCGCAGTTTCATATTAGTGGTTTTTTTAGTGTAGGTTTCTTAACATCACCTTATTGTGTTTTTTGTTTTTTCTTATGTGTTTTAATTTTAGTCAATTTGCAATTCTGTTTGTATACTTTAAGTCAGTATGAGGTTCAATTAAAAGATAGCCATGTGTCGCCAGGCACGGTGGCTCACGTCTGTAATCCCAGCACTTTGGGAGGCTGAGGCAGGCGATCACCTGAGGTCGGGAGTTTGAGAGCAGCCTGACCAACATGGTGAAACCCTGTCTCTTTTTTTTTTTTTTTTTTTTTTTGAGATGGAATTTCGCTCTTGTTACCCAGGCTGGAGTGCAATGGCATGATCTTGGCTGACCGCTACCTCCGCCTCCTGAGTTCAAGCAATTCTCCGGCCTCAGCCCCCCGAGTAGTTGGGACTACAGGCACGCACCACCATGCCCAGCGAATTTTTGTATTTTTAGTAGAGACGGGGTTTCACCTTATTGACCAGGATGGTCTCGATCTCTTGACCTCGTGATCCACCCGCCTCGGCCTCGCAAAGTGCTGGGATTATAGGCGTGAGCCGCCCGGCTTGGCTGTGAAACCCTGTCTTTGAAAAAAAAAAAAAAAGATCTGGGCACTATCGCACGTGCCTGTGGTCCCAGGTACTCTGGAGCCTGAGGTGGAAGAATCTTGAGCCAAGGACTGTCCAGACTGCAGTGAGTGAGCTAGGATGACACCACCCTGCACTCCAGAATTTAACAGTCTCTCTCCCCCAACCCCACGTCTTTCGTTTAAAAAAATAAATACATAAATAAATAATAAAAAATAAAAAGATAGCCATATGTCTATCACAGATTAGATATGTTTGTTTGTTTATCTATAAATATGACCCGAGGCCGGGTGTGGCAGTTTATTTTTTATTCTATTTTATTTTACATTCTGGGATATATGTGCAGGACATGCAGGTTTATTATAGGTAAACGTGTGCCATGGTGGTTTACTGCACCTATCAACCCATCACCTAGGTATTAAGCCCTGCATGCATTACCTAAATATCCTGATTCTCTCTCTCTCTCTCCCACAACAGGCCCCAGTGTATGTTGTTCCCCTTTATATGTCTGTGTGTTCTTACTGTTCAGCTTCCACTGATAAGTGAGAGCATTTGCTGTTTGGTTTTCTGTTCCTGCATTAGTTTACTAAGGATAATGGTTTCCAGTTTTATCCATATTTCTAAAAGTACACTATCTTTTTTTTTATGGCTGCATAGTATCCTATGGTATATATGTTCCACATTTTCTTAATGCAGTCTATCATTGATGGGCATTTGGATTAATTCCAAGTCTTTGCTGTTGTGAATAGTGCTGCAATGAACATACACATCCACGTATCTTTATAATGGAATAATTTATATTTCTGGGGTTTATATCTAGTAATGAGATTGCTGGTTCAAATGGTCTGTCTGCTTTTAGGTCTTTGAGGAGCCGCCATAGTGTCTTCACATTTCCACGAACAGTGTAAAAGCATTTGTGTGTCTCCACAGCGTCACCAGCATCTGTTGTTCTTGGCTTTTTAGTAGTCACCATTTTGACTGCTGTGAGATGGTATCTCATTCTGATTTTGATTTGCATTTGTCTAATGATCACCAATGTTGAGCTTTTTTTCATGTTTTTTGGCCACATGTCTTCTTTTGAGAAGCATCTCTTCATGTTCTTTGCCCACTTTTTAATAGGGTTGTTTTATTTTTGCAAAGTTCTTCAAGTTTGCTGTAGACTCTGGATATTAATCTTTGTTAACTGGATAGGTTGCAAAAATGTTATTTCATCCTATAGGTTGTTTGTTCACTCTGATGACAGTTTCTTTTGCTGTGCAGAAGCTCTTTGGCTTAATTAGATCCCATTTATCGATATTTCCTTGTGTTACGATTGCTTTAGAAGTTTTCATTATGAAATCTTGGCTTTTACCTGTGTTTTGAATGGTATTGCCTAGAGTTTTTTTTAGGGTTCTTATACTTTAGGGTTTCACATTTAAGTCTATAATTCACCTTGAGTTAATTTTTTTTTTTTTTTTTTTTGAGACGGAGTTTCGCTCTTGTTACCCAGGCTGGAGTGCAATGGCGCGATCTCGGTTCACCACAACCTCCGCCTCCTGGGTTCAGGCAATTCTCCTGCCTCAGCCTCCTGAGTAGCTGGGATTACAGGCACACACCACCGTGACCAGATAATTTTTTGTATTTTTAGTAGAGACGGGGTTTCACCATGTTGACCAGGATGGTCTCGATCTCTTGACCTGTTATCCACCTGCCTCGGCCTCCCAAAGTGCTGGGATTACAGGCTTGAGCCACCACGCCCGGCCTAATTTTTTATTTTATTGAGAATTTTTGCATGAATGTTTATCAGAGATAATTGGCTTTAAGTTTTCTTTTTTTGTAAAATCTTTGTCAGGTTTTGTTATCAGAATGATGCTGACCTCATGACTCAATTAAGGAAAAGTCCCACCTTTTCTATCTTTCTCATTGGTTTCAAAGATTTTCATGATTTCTGATTTAATTTCATTGTTTACCCAGAAGTCATTCAGGAGCAGCTTGTTCAAGTTCTGTGTGGTTTTCTGGTTGTGAATTTTTTTTGTTATTTTGTTGTTTTTTGAAGACAAATTTTCACTCTTTCAAGTAGGCTGGACTGTAGGGGCACAATCCAGGCTCATTGCAACCTCTGCCTTCCGGTTTCAAGTGATTCTTTTGCCTCAGCCTCCCAAGTAGCTGGGATTACAGGTACCCACCACCACCCCTGGCTAATTTTTGTATATTTAGTAGAGACGGGGTTTTATCATGTTTCCCAGGCTGGTCCTCAAGCTCCTGACCTCGTGACCTGCCCACTTTGGCATCCCAAAGTGCTGAGATACAGATGTGAGCCACCACGCTTGGAAAGGAGGTTTTTTTTTTATTTTTGAGACAGTGTCTTACTCTGTCACCCAGGTTGGCATGCGGTGGCGAGATCTTGGCTCAGTACCATCTCTGCCCCTGGGTTTAAACATTTCAACTGCCTCAGCCTCTTGAGTAGCTGGCTAAAGGCATGTGTCACCCGCCTGGCTAATTTTTTGTATTTTTAGTAGAGATGAGGTTTCACCATGTTAGCCAGGATGGTCTCGATCTCCTGACCTTGTGATCCACCTGCCTCCACCTTCCAAAGTGCTAGGATTACAGGCTTGAGCCACCATATCTGGCTTTAGTTGTGAGTTCTAATTTGATCACACTGCGCTGTGAGAGATTGTTATGATTTCAGTTATTTTGCATTTCTGAGAAGTGTTTTACCTCCAATTATGTGATCAATTTAAGAATAAGTGCTGTGTGGCACTGAAAAGAATGTGTATTTTTTTGTTTTTGGCTGAAGAGTCCTGTAGATTTCAGTCAGGTCCACTTGTCCCAGAGCTGAGTTCAAGTCCTGAATTTTCTTGTTACTTTTATTTCTTAATTATCTGTCTATTACTGGCAGTGAGATGTTAAAATCTCTCAGTATTATTGTGTGAGAGTCTAAGTCTCTTTGTAGGTCTCTAAGAATGTGTTTTCTTTTTTGTGAGACGGAGTTTCACTCTTGTTACCCAGACTGGAGTGCAATGTCACGATCTCAGCTCAGTGCAACCTCCGCCTCCTGGGTTCAAGCACTTCTCCTGCCTCAGCCTCCCGAGTAGCTGGGACTACAGGCGTGCACCACCATGCCCAGCTAATTATTGTATTTTTAGTAGAGACGGGGTTTCACCTTGTTGACCACGATGGTCTCGATCTCTTGAACTGTGATCCACCGGCCTCGGCCTCCCAACGTGCTGGGATTATAGGCATGAGCCACCGCGCCCGGCTGTTTTGGTTTATATTACACTTGTGTATGAAATTGTTTAACTCTGCACAATTTAAGACAGTGTTGAGCAAAATCAACTATGAATCAGCTGTGTGTCAATGGCCAATATCATTACATCTAAGTTTTTTTCCCTGTGTCAGTATTATTCCTGTTTCTTTTTTTAAATAAGTTGTATATTTGTTGTGTAGGTTTGTTGTAAACGGTTTTTCAGTCTTATCTAGGTGAGTAGTCATAAAAATCCTCCTAATTTTTTTTTCTTTTTTAAAAATTTATCCTAGATTTCAGAACACCTACTTTGAATGCCTATAGTTAATCTGTATTATTTTTGTGTGGGAGAAACACTTTGGGATTTAAAGATAATATATAAACTGTCATAACTCTGAATATTTTTAGGTATTATTTTTACTTACCAAAACATAACAAAATTTGTTATCAAGTATCTATATATATATTTTTTTGAGACTGAGTTTCGCTCTTGTTACCCAGGCTGGAGTGCAATGGTGTGATCTTGGCTCACCGCAACCTCCACCTCCTGGGTTCAGGCAATTCTCCTGCCTCAGCCTCCTGAGTAGCTGGGATTACAGGCACGCACCACCATGCCCAGCTAATTTTTTCTTTTGGATTTTTAATAGAGACGGGGTTTCACCATGTTGACCAGGATGGTCTCGATCTCTTGACCTCGTGATCCACCCGCCTCAGCCTCCCAAAGTGCTGGGATTATAGGCATGAGCCACCGTGCCCAGCTGAATTGTGTTTTTTTTAATGTCTTTCTTTTTCTCTTTCTTTTTTTTTTCCTTTTGAGACAGAGTTTTACTGTTGTCACCCAGGCTGGAGTGGAATGAATGACATGATTTTTGCTAACTGCAACCTCTGCCTTTTGGGCTCAAGTGATTTTCCTCCCTAGCCAATTGAGGAGCTGGGATTATAGGCATCTGCCAGCATGCTTGGCAAATTGTTGTCTATTTAGTAGATAGGGAGTTTCACCATGTTGACCAGGCTGTTTTCAAACTCCTGACTTCAAAGTGATTCTGTCATGACCTCCAAAAGTGTTGGGATTACAGGCATGAGTGACTGTGCTCTACCACAAGATTCTTTTAATTCTGTAGCTTTGTAATGTGTTTTTCTTTCTTTCCTTTTTTTTCTTTTTTTTTTTCTCTAAGACTTAGTCTCATCCCATCATCCAGGCTGCAGTGCACTTGTGTCATCCTGGCTTACTGCAACCTCTGTCTCCTGGGTTCAAGGAATTCTCATGCCTCAGTCTCCCGAATGGCTGTGATTACAAGTGCCCACCACTATGCTCAACTAATTTTTCTGAATATTTAGTAGAGACAGGATTTTAGCGTGTTGGCCAGGCTGGCCTTGAACTCCCAACCTCAGGTGATCCACCCACCTAAGCCTCCCAAAGTGCTGGGATTACAGGCATGCACCACTGTGCCTGGCCTGTAGTGTGTTTTCAAATCAGAAACTGTAATGCCTTTATTATTGTTTCTTCTTTGGAAGACTGTTGTGTACTTCATTGTCTCTTTTGATTCCATATACTTTTGAGGTTGCTATTTCTATTTGCTCAAAAATGGAAAATAATTCTGAAAAACATTTCATTAAATCTGTACATTACATTGAGCGTTATGAGCATTTAAAAAATATTATTTCCATCTTTGAATAGGAGCATGCTGATGAGTGTGTTGTTTTATTTCTATGTATTGGTACATTTTTATTTTTATTTTTTGGTGGAGTGGAGTTTTGTTCTTGTTACCCAGGTTGGTGTGCAATGGAACAATTTTGGCTCACTGCAACCTCTGCCTCCTGAGTTCAAGCATTTCTCCTGCCTTAGCCTTGGTTGCCAGGATTACAGGGATACACCACCACTCCTGGCTAAGTTTGTATTTCTAGTAGAGATAGAATTTCCTCATGTTGGTTAGGCTGGTCCTAAACTACCCACCTCAGGTGATCCGCCTTCCTCATTCTCCCAACATGCTGGGTTTACATACATGGGCTCTACCACACCCCGCCCACTCGTCAGTTTTACCTTGCAGCTTCCAAGATCCTCTTTTCTCTGACTTTTAAAATTGTGCTTACAGATCTGTTTGATATAAACATCTTAGTCTGTATCCTAGTTTGTTTAGCTTCTTTGTATCATTTTTTAAAAGATTTTTCAGTTATTCCTTTTTATATTTTTACCTCTTTCTGTTTTTCTTTCTTCTTTCATTTTCTAAATTAAGTCTTGCTTTGTCATGAGGTTGGAGTGCAGTGGTGCAATCTTGGCTCACTGCAATCTCTGCCTCCCTGGTTCAAGCAATTCTCTTACCTTGGCCTCTCAAGTAGCTGTAATTATAGGCCCCTGCCACCGCACCGAGCTAATTTGTGGATTTTTAGTAAAGACAGTGTTTCACCATGTTGGCCAAGATAGTCTCGATCTCCTGATCTCGTGATATGCCCGCCTTGGCCTCCCAAAGTGATGGGATTACAGGCCTCAGCCACTGTGCCTGACCTGGTTTTCTAATATGTTAAATATTTTTGTTATTTTGAGTTTTCTAATTTTCTATTCTTCTCTGTGTTCACGGTCCAGTTGAGTATTATTTAAATTTATTTTCAGTTTTTAAAATTATACATCAATTTTTAATCTTTCTGAAAATTTTTTATTTTTGTTGAAACGACATTGCCTTATTTTAACGTTGTAATCTTTTATTAAAATTTGAACATCAAAAAAGTTAACCTGTTTGAATCTTTATGATATGGCTTTCTCCTGGCCTACTTTGAACAATTGTCTGGGTCAGAGATTCTGAGAGTCTCTGAGACATGTTCTTAAAATGTGTCTAAAATTTTCTTTCTTTGTTTCTTTTTTTTTTGTTTTTAAACACGGGGTTTCACCATGTTGGCCTGGCTGATCTTCAACTCCTGACCTCAGGTGATTTGCCCACCTTGGCCTCCAAAGCGCTTGGATTACAGGTGTGAGCCACCATGCCCAGATTGTCTAAAGTTTTTTTCTTTTTACTTAAAATTTAAGGGACTGTGGTGGGAGGGGCAGGGAATAGAAAAAAAAATGATTTAAGACTAATGCTGGGTAAATGTAACAGATTCTTCCTTTTCCTTTTATTTCCTCCTTTTATGTGGCTTTAGTGCTCACTTGGGGCACTTGAAACACTTAGCTCATTTATCATTTTCTCTCAGATGTATTTTGGTTAGTTTTTGTTACATATAAATGTCTATAAAAAACTAGGGCCTCTTGTATTTTTATATACTGTCTTGTTTATGTAGTTTTTATAATGTTACAGGTAAATTAGCTGAGCATGGTGGCACGTGCCTGTCATCCCAGCTACTCAGGAGGCTGAGGCAGGAGAATTGCCTGAACCCAGGAGGCGGAGGTTGTGGTGAAGCGAGATCGTGCCATTGAACTCCAGCCTGAGTAACAAGAGCAAAACTCTGTCTTAAAAATAAATAAATAAAATAATAATAATAATAACATTACAGGTTAGAATTGTAATGTATATTTATCTGAGCCTAGTAAGTGAAGTAATTTGTTATTTTTATTTCTTTCAGTTCTGTGTTCTCATTTTGGCCAAGACCTTTGGCCAAGGCTGGAAATACAAGATTCTTTTCAAAAAGTAATACTGAGAGAAAATGGAAAATGTGGACATAAGGATTTACAGTTACGAAAAGGCTGTAAAAGAGTGAATAAGTTTAATGTGTACAAGGAAGGTTATAATGAACTAAACCAGTGTTTGAAAACTAACAGAAGCAAAATATTTCAATATGATAAACATGTGAAAGTCTTTCATAAATTCTTAAATTCAAATAGACAGAAGACAAGACCTACTGGAAAGAGACCTTTCAAATGTCAAAAATGTGGCAAATCATTTTACATGCTTTTACACCTAAGTCAACATAAAAGAATTCATATTAGAGAGAATTCTTACCAATGTGAGGAATGTGGAAAAGCTTTTAACCAGTACTCCTACCTTACTAATCATAAAAGAATTCATACTGGAGAGAAACCCTACCAATGTGAAGAATGTGGCAAAGGCTTTACCCTATCCTCAAACTTTACTGCACATAAGAGAATTCACACTGGAGAGAAACCCTACAGATGTCAAGAATGTGGCAGAGCTTTTAACCGAAAAGCACATCTTACTAGACATAAGAGAATTCATACGGGAGAGAAGCCCTACAAATGTGAAGACTGCGGCAAAGCTTTTAAACAGTCCCTACACCTTACTAATCATAAGAAATTTCATACTGGAGAGAAACCCTACAAATGTGAAGAATGTGGCAAAGCGTTTACACTACCTTCATACCTTACTGCACATAACAGAATTCATACTGGAGAGAAACCGTACAAATGTGAAGAATGTGGCAAAGCGTTTACCCTATGTTCATACCTTACTGCACATAAGAGAATTCATACTGGAGAGAAACCCTACAAATGTGAAGAATGTGGCAAAGTGTTTACCCTTTCTTTGCACCTTGCTAGACATAAGAGAATTCACACCGGAGAGAAACCCTACAGATGTCAAGAATGTGGCAGAGGTTTTAACCGACACATACACCTTACTGGACATAGGAGAATTCATACGGGAGAGAAACCCTACAGATGTGAAGAATGTGGCAAAGGATTTACCTTATCCTCATACCTTACTAGACATAGGAGAATTCATACAGGAGAGAAACCCTACAAATGTGAAGAATGTGGCAAAGGCTTTACCTTATCCTCATACCTTACTAGACATGAGAGTATTCATACAGGAGAGAAAACCTACAAATGTAAAGAATGTGACAAAGCCTTTAACCAGTACTCAAATCTTACTATACATCAGAGAATTCATACTGGAGAGAAACCCCACAAATGTGAAGAATGTGGCAAAGCCTTTAAACAATCATCACACCTTACTAATCATAAAATAATTCATACTGGAGAGAAACACTACAAATGTGAAAAATGTGGCAAAGCCTTTACCCTATCCTCATACCTTACTATGCATAGGAGAATTCATACTGGAGAGAAACCCTACAGTTGTGAAAAATGTGGCAAAGCCTTTACCCTATCGTCATATCTTACTAGACATAGGAGAATTCATACAGGAGAGAAACCATACAGATGTGGAGAATGTGACAAAGCCTTTAACCAGTATTCATATCTTACTAAACATAAGAAAATCCACACTGAAGAGAAACCCTGTAAGGGTGAAAAATATGGCAAGACCCTTAACTAGTCCTCAGTTCTTAAAAGACATGAAATAATTCATACTGGAGAGAAACTCTACAAAGCCGAAACATGTGACATATGCCTTTGACAACATTTCAAACTTTTCTACTCATAAAAGAAATCCTATTGGTAAGATTCATATTAGTTATGAGAAGAATACATTTTACAATAAAAGACATAATATAAATTAAGTAATACATACTAACATAATTATTCATGAACTTGCATTATTAATAGTTAAATATTTCTATTACACAAAATAATCTAGATACAATGCAACCTCATGACATTAGCAGTAAAATACTTAATAGAAATTTTTCAAAATGATGTCAAAATTAAATTTAAAAATTCAAAACAATAAAAATTTTACCTATAGAAAAAATATTCCTTAACTTCTTTGCAGCTGAAAGCCACTGGCACAGAAAAGTCACTAGAGATGTTAATCCATCATGTTATTAAATAGCATATTGCTACCATCTTTTACCTATACCCTTTAGTAAGGTGGAAGAGGTTAAAGGTTGTGGTATGATAACACTTCACTGAATGCACAGTAGTATTTAACATGTTAAAAATGTTGAAGGCCGGGCGCGGTGCCTCACGCCTATTATCCCAGCACTTTGGGAGGCTGAGGTGGGCGGATCACAAGGTCAGGAGATCCAGACCATCCTGGCCAACATGGTGAAACCGTCTCTACTAAAAATACAAAAATTAGCTGGGCGTGGTGGCGTGCGCCTGTCATCCCAGCTACTCAGGAGGCTGAGGCAGGGGAATTCCTTGAACCCAGGAGGCGGAGGTTGCGGTGAGCCGAGAAAGCGCCATTGCACTCCAGCCTGGGTAACAAGAGCGAAACTCTGTCTCAAAAAAAAAAAAAGAAAGAAAACAAATGTTGAATTGGGCCGGGCAGGGTGGCTCACGCCTGTAATCCCGGCACTTTGGGAGGCTGAGGTGGGTGGATCATGAGGTCAAGAGATCGAGGCCATCCTGGTCAACAAGATGAAACCTTGTCTCTACTAAAAATACAAAACATTAGCTGGGCATGGTGGCTCGCACCTTTAGTCCCAGTGACTTGGGAGGCTGAGGCAGGAGAATTGCTTGAACTTAGGAGGCAGAGGTTGCGGTGAGTCAATCGCGCCATTGCACTCCAGCCTGGGTAAGCAGAGCAAAACTTTGTCTCAAAAATTAAAAAAAACTTTATAATTAAAATTTTTAAAGTACTGTATTATATAAAAGTACAATTAGTACAAAAATACACTACCAATTTGATTTTTTAAAAATTAAACGTTTTCTTCTCATAATGCAGAATAGTACTCTGAACACATACCTACTCATGCATCATTCAATCGTATAAAAACCCCAAAGAGCCTCTCTATTTAGATTTTCATTATGCGTCTTTTGTTTCAGTTTCTTTAGTTTTCTGTAGAAAAGATTGTAAATAATGCCCACCTAATAAAGAATCTCTTGGGCTCACGCTTCTAATCTCAGCACTTTGGTAGATGGAGGCAGGCAGATTGCCTGAGGTTGGGAGCTTGAGAGCAGCTTGACCAACATGGAGAAACTCATGTCTCTACAAAAAAATTAGCTGGGCATAATTGTGCATGCCTGTAATCCCAGCTACTTGGAAGGCTGAGGCAAAAGAATTGCTTGAACCTGGGAGGCACTGGTTGTGGTGAGCTAAGATTGTGCCATTGCAGTCCAACTTAAGAAAGGAGCAAAACATTGTCTCATAAAAAAAAGAAAAGGTTACAGTAGCACCTGTGGAAAAGAGAAGAAAAAAAAACACTTTTTGAAAGTCAAGCCCAGTCGTGTATTTGTACTATGAAATACCTGAGTTGGGTGAATTTCTCTCTTGTTGAGGTTTTAACATAAACCTGAAACTCCTGAGTTTTTCAGAAAGTACAATCCTGGTCTGTGGTAAGTAGAAAATATAGTACAGGGACTGTGTAGAGAAGATTTCAGTTTTCCCAAGGGGCTATTATTGGCTCCTCGATAAATCAAATTTGAATTTATTTTTTTTTAAACACTGCCAGTTAAAGCCTTGGCAAAATAACAAGTTTCTCCAGTTGTGCCCTGTTACTTATAAAAAAAAAAAAAAAATTCTGGACCAGGTGCAGTGGCTGATGCCTGTAATCCGAACACTTTGGGAGGCTGAGGCCGGTGGTTCATGAATTCAATATATTGAGACAATCCTGGCCAACATGGTGAAACCCTGTGTCTACTAAATATACATAAAATTAGCTGGCTGCAGTGGCTATGCACACCTGTAGTTCCAGATACTTGGGAGGCCAAGGCAAAGAATCGCTTGAACCTGGAAGGCAGAGGTTGCAGTGAGCTGACATGCCACTTCAAATGCCTGTTGACAGAGGGAGACTCCATCTCAAAAAAAAAAAAAGTATATTACTTCAGCCTTATGTTAGTTCAGTGCATGCAGCTAATCCTTGCTCTGCCTGATATTCATGAACTTTTCAGCTCTTCATGAGTCCTGAAGTTTTTGTCTCTTACATCACAATCTCCAAAGTTATCAGAAACTTTGATTCAAGAGCATGTGTTAGAATTTTATAGCTGATTATAAAACCACCTTCTAAGGAGGATCAAAGCAATACAACCACTGTCTGTGAATGACAAATAGTTTTAGGACAGTTATAGTCAAAGACACACAAGGAAATGTGTTACCTCTGTGGCCCACGATAATTTAACATAACAATGATGATTGCTGATAATGTACACTAAGTCATATAAGAGTTCTCCCAAATTTTGGAACACCTACTAAAGTTTTTGTAGAAATACAGCCCAAAGAAAACCAAGCACCATTTTATATTCAACAATGCTTTCTGTATAATTTTATAAGAAATAAGCAAAATTATCTCATTTATAAACTTTAGGAGATGTAATATTTTAAAGGACTAATTAGGTAAGAAAAATACATAACTTTATTTTTTATCTTTTTCTCTTTCCTTTTAAAAATACATAACTTCTGGCCTGGCACGGTGGCTCAAGCCTGTAATCCCAGCACTTTGGGAGGCGGGTGGATCACGAGGTCAACAGATTAAGACCATCCTGGTCAACATGGTGAAACACCGTCTCTACTAAAAATACAAAAAATTAGCTGGGCACGGTGGTGCGAGCCTGTAATCCCAGCTACTCACGAGGCCGAGGCAGGAGAATTGCCTGAACCCAGGAGGCGGAAGTTGCGGTGAGCCGAGATCGCGCCATTGCCCTCCAGCCTGGGTAAGAAGAGCAAAACTCTGTCTCAAAAAAAAAAAAAAACAAACAACCATCTAATTTGATTTTGGAAAGTTTGATGATGGAACTTTGTTTCACAGAAAGAATCTTAGTGAAAATATTAAAGGTTAAAAACACTTGATATCACAGGTCATTTTAAAATAAGTCATTTATTTAACCAAAGTGATAATGAGTTCCAAGGGAGAGTGAGGAAAAACTTCATTTTTGGGGAGAGAAGACTTAATATGCCAAACAATCTCTAATAGACCAGCATAAAGCCCATTTGTTTTTCAAAATGTTACAAACAATATAAAATGTTAATTTTTTTTTTTTTTGAGACGGAGTTTTGCTCTCCTTACCCAGGCTGGAGTGCAATGACGGGATCTCGGCTCACCACAACCTCCGCCTCTTGGGTTCAGGCAATTCTGCCTCAGCCTCCCGAGTAGCTGGGATTACAGGCACACGCCACCATGTCTCAGCTACTTTGGAGGCTGAGGCAGGAGAATCATTTGAACCTGGGAGGGGGAGGTTGTACTGAGCCAAGATTGGGCCACCAAACTCCAGCCTGGTGACAGAGTGAGACTCCATCTCTCTCTCTCTCTAATATATGTATATGTGTGTATATATATATATATATATATATATAATATTATATAAGATAAATTAGTATATTTTATATATATATATATATATATTGCGAAGCAAAAAGAATAATGCCAAGAGGTGCCCTCCACAGCCCTGGCTTCTACCTCCTCTTCCACGCTGTGCTCAACTGCCACTACAGATATTCATACTGTATCACAGGACCAATAAAACCACTCCACCAGCCACCGAAAGAGGAGCCACAGAAAGACCAAGAAACACAGCCTGGCCACCTTATACTACCCTAGAATGTACTAACAGCCATTGTTGGCATTCAGGAGTTGTTTATTCCTATCTTCCCACTACTTGAAAGAATTCTAAACCAGCTGGACACGGTGGCTGACGCTTGTAATCCCGGCACTTTAGGAGGCCAAGGCAGGCAGATCACCTGAGGCCAGGAGTTTGAGACAAGCCTGGCCAATATGGTGAAACCCTATCTTTAATATAAATAGAAAAGGCTAAGGCAGGAGAATCACTTGAACCCAGAAGACAGAGGTTGCAGTTAACGGAGATTGTGCCACTGTACTCCAGTCTGGGTGACAAGAATGAAACTCTATCTCAAGGAAAAAAAACGTTTGAAACAATAACAATCTAGACTGGCTGGAAGCTGGTGCCTGGTACATCTGACAACTGCAAACAGCTTAGTGCTCCTGTCTCAGGTACACACTGGCCCGCCTGACACCCAAATAAAACAATTGTTTTTTTGTTTTTTTAAAGTCCTGGCCTTGTCAGGTGGTTCCCTCCTGTAATCTCAGCACTTTGAGAGGAAGAGGTGAGCGGACCACGTGAGGGCCAGAGTAGTTAAAAACCAGCATAGATAAACCCTGTTTCTTCTAAAAGTTACAAAATTGTCCGGGCATGGTGGCGCATGCCTGTAATCCCAGCTACTCAGGAGGCTGAGGCAGAATTGTTTGACCCCGGGAGGCGGAGGTTGCAGTGAGCTGAGATCGTGCCATTGCATTCCAACCCCGGCAACAAGAGCAAAACTCCATCTCAAAAAAACAAAAACAAAAACGAGGGTCCCTGTAATGGTGGTGATTCAGTCAGGGATGCACTAGCTAGCAGGGCCTTGACTGTGTAACCCAAAAGGTGTATGAGACAGGTCTTGATTAATACGGAAAGTTTATTCTGCCAGTGTAAAGAATAGGCCTGTGGCTCAGTCCCAGGAGGTCCTGAAGACATGTGCCCAAGGTTCCTTTGATACATCTTAGGAAGAAATCAATATGTGTAAAATGTATCTTGGTTTAGTAAGGAAGGACAACTGGAAGTGGGGGCTTCCAGGTTACAAGTAGATAAGAGAAAAGGTTGTATTCTTTTGAGTCTTTGATTAGCCTTCCACTGAATACAGAATGTCCTTTGGCCCAGTGAATCTGCATTCTTACATTAACAATAGGGTAGAAAAAGCTATGGGATCTGCATTTGTCTCGGGTGAGCCTCAGAGGGATGACTGAGTTCTGTCTGTTCTTTGTTCACAAGGAATTTCTTTGCAAGCAAATTGTGAGAAAGGTATATAGGGTTTTTTTCAATTCGTTTTGTTTTGAGATGGAGTATTGCTCTGTCACTCAGGCTGGAGTACAGTGGAGTAATCTCAGCTCACTGCAACCTCCACCAAGCGATTCCTGAGTATACTATTAGTGTATTCAAGAATGAAGTGATTCTCCTGCATCAGCCTCCAAAGTAGCTGGGACTACAGGCATGTGCCACCATGCCCAGCTACCTTTTTTGTATTTTTTGTGGAGACGGTGTTTCACCATGTTGGTCAGAGTGGTCTCAAACTTTAGACCTCAAATGATCCACCCACCTCAGCCTCCAAAAGTGCTGTGATTACAGGTGTGAACCACCATGCCTGGTGATATGTGGTCTTTTATATTTGCAGCAGCTATTTTATTTAGGAATAAAATCTTATTTAGGAAGGCAGGCTTATCTGACAGTTCCCAGCTCAACTTTTCCATTGGCTTAGTAATTTTGGGGTCCTGAGATTTGTTTTTCTTTCACAGATAAGTGTTCATAATAACAAATACAGATTAGCCTGGGCATGGTAGCTCACCCCTATAATACCAGCACTTTGAGAGGCTGAGATGAGTGGATCACGTGAGGTCAGGAGTTCCAGACCAGCCTGGCCAACATGGTGAAACCCTGTCTCTACTAAAAAAACAAAAATTATAGCAGTCATGTTCATTATTAATCAAAACAAAATTAGCCCAGCAATGCTGGTGCAGGCCTATAATCCCAGCTACTTGAGAGGCTGAGGCAGGAGAATCACTTAAACACAGGAGTTGAAGGTTGCAGAGAGCCAAAATCATGCCGTTGCACTCCAGCCTGGGAAACAGAGTGAGGCTGAATCTCAACATATATATAGATACATACATATATATGTTAATAAAAAACTCATACATGCAAATATAACTAATGCTACATCTTTTAAAGTAGTCCATCCTGCAGAGCACTGTGGCTGATGCTTGTAATCCCAGCACTCTGGCAGGCCAAGGTAAGAGAATTATGAGGTCAGGAGTTCAGACCACCCTGTCCAATATGATGAAACGCCATCTCTACTAAAAATGCAAATTAGCAAGTGCTGTGGCGTGCACTTGCAGTCCCAGCTACCCAGGAGAGTGAGAAAAAAGAATAACTTGAATCCAGGAGGGCAGCCCTGGTGTCCAGGAGAATGTCCACTTTTCTCCAATTGATTTCCAGGATCACCCAGAGCTTGGTTGATAATGGTGGTGTGAATTGCCAGAGCCAGGGATAGGAGCTCTGGGGCCTGTCAGTCCTGATGAACCATTTGAGAGATTGGCCTTGTACCTTGTGACCAGCATCCCCAGAGATGGATCAAGATGGCTTCCTCATGCTGCCTGGGCCATCCTTCCTAGAAAGCCCTGGCTTACCACATCTGTAGCAGTTAACAGGTGCCCCTCAAGGATGTGGGAGTTTGCCGGCTTGTATGGTGGGAATAAAGCCTCTGCCTCTTTTTTTGTGTTTCCTGCCTCCCTCCTGGGCCTTCCTATCTCTGTTATAAAAGGCTGAGGTGACCACTTTCAGGAGGTTCTCAAAAGTACTATTTGGGGCCAGGCGTGGTGGCTCATGCCTGTAATCCAAGCACTTTGGAGGCCAAGGCAGGCGGATCACCTGAGGTCAGGAGTTCAAGACCAGCCTGACCAACATGGTGAAACCTTGTCTTTTAAAATAAAAAAAAAAGTAGGCCGGGCGCGGTGGCTCACGTTTATAATCCCAACACTTTGGGAGGCCGAGGCTGGTGGATCACGAGGTCAAGAGATTGAGATCATCCTGGTCAACAAGGTGAAACCCCGTCTCTATTAAAAATACAAAAAAAAAAAAAAAAATTAGCTGGGCATGGTGGCACCTGCCTGTAGTTCCAGCTACTGAGGAGGCTGAGGCAGGAGAATTGCTTGAACCCAGAAGGCGGAGGTTGTGGTGAGCCGAGATCGTGCCATTGCACTCCAGTCTGGGTAACAAAAGTGAAACTTCGTATCAAAAAAAAAAAAGTACTATTTGGTCTCCAGGGCCTATTTTTTGCAACTTTCTCCTGATATCAAGAGCTGCCTCAGCAATACATTTATTTTTTTGGACTAGTTGTCATTTGATTGAATCAGAAGTTAGAAAATAGAAAATCAAGTCTTACTCAGTGAGTTGAGATTGCACCACTGCACTCCAGCCTTGGTGACAAAGGGGAAACTATGTCTCAAAAGAACAACAGAATGAAAGGTGAGTGTGGCTCCTGCCACTCATGCCTGTTATCCCAGCACTTTGGGAGGCCAAGATGGGCAGATCACGAGGTCAAGAGATCAAGACCATGGTGAAAACCTGTCTCTACTAAAAAATACAAAACTTAGCTGGGCGTGGTGGTGAGTGCCTGTGTTCCCAGCCACTCGGGAGGCTGAGGCAGGAGAATTGCTTGAACTCAGCAGGTGGAGGTTGCGGTGAGCCAAGATCATATCACTACACTCCAGCCTGGAGCCTGGTGACAGAACAAGATTCTGTCTCAAAAAGAAGAGTGTGGCCCAGGTGATCATCACCTGTCATTGGTGACAGAAAATGCTAAGGCTGGGCATGGTGGCTCACTACTGTAATCCCAGCACTTTGGGAGGACAAGGCAGGTGGACCATGAGGTTAGGAGTTCACCAGACCAGCCTGGTGAACATAGTGAAACCCTGACTACACTAAAAGTACAAAAATTATCCAGGCATAGTTGTGTGCCCCTGTAATTCCAGCTACTTGGGAGGCTGAGGCAGGAGAATCACTTGAACTTGGGAAGCAGAGATTGTAGTGAGCCAAGATTGCAGCACCACTGCACTCCAGCCTGGGCAACAGAGCATGGCTACATCTGAAAGAAAGAAAAGAAAAGAAAAAGGCTGGAGTGCAGGCCAGGTGGAGGAGAGATGCTAGGCTGTGGGGCTAGGCCCTGGGCATGCTGGACCTGTTAGGTCATTGAACATTTAACTGCCAGGCACTTGCCTCTGTCAGGTGCTTTGAGGTAAAGGAATTAGGCAGCACTCTCCGGAAGTCCCACTGTGCTGGGAGAATGGAGGAGGGTCTATATCTTGCCATTCTAGGGTAACTTTTATAGGAAGCTGGACTCTCTTGGAGAGCTAATGAAATGGGAGGAAGGCAATACCTCTGCTAGACCTCAGCGACAGAGCCTGAGAAGTAAGAAAGGGTGTGGAGGTGGCCTGACCCTATGTGAGGGGCTTCATAGCTCTTACAACTGGTGGCTGCTGCTTAGCCATCCCTCTCCAGAGCAGCCAGGTCCTCAGCCTCATGTATAGTTAAATGCCCTTTGGAGTGTCCATGTCTTAGAAATTCTGAAAAATAAAAGAGCCACAGATTCCAATTTTAATGTCTGTTAGTTTCTCTGAGCCAACTGGGAAAAGATGTCTTTCACATTGAAGTTTAAGTGGCACCGAAGGACGGCCAGCAGTGTCTTGGCCATGGAAACTCCTATGCGCTTCCTGCCCCCAGTTTGATTTGCAGCCTCATGGTTGTGTTGGCTGGCAGCAGTGTCTCATGCTTGTAATCCTAACACTTTGGGAGGCTGAGGCAGGCAGATAACTTGAGGTCAGGAGTTCAAGACAAAATTGGCCAACATGGTCCAACCCCGTCTCTACCATAAAGCACAAAAATGAGTTGGGTGTTGGGGCAGGCACCTGTAGTCCCAGCTACTTGGGAGGCTGAGATGGGAGAATTGTTTGAACTCAGAAGACAGAGGTTCCAGTGAGCTGACACTGTACCACTGCCCTTCAGCCTGGTCTACAGAGTGAGACCCTGTCTCAAAAAAAAGAAAGAAAAGAAAGAGAGAGAATTGACATGCACTAGGTTGTGGTTCCTGTGTGGATGGGCAGTTTTTCAAATAGAAAATCAAGTCTCACTGAGCTGCAGGAGCCACACTCAGTTGTTGTTCTTTTGCGACATAGTTTCACCTTTGTCACCAAGGCTGGAGTGCAGTGGTGCAATCTCAACTCACTGCAACCTTCATTTCCTGGTTTTTAGCAATTCTCTTACCTAAGCCTCCTGAAGCTGAGATTACAGGCACCCACCACCACACCAAGCTAATTTTTGTATTTTAGTAGAGATGGGGTTTCACCATGTTGGCCAGGCTTGTCTAGAACTCCTGACCTTGTGATCTGCCCGCCTTGGCCTCTCAAAATGCTGGGATTACAGGCACAAGCCACCGTGCCTGGCCTAAAAAAAATTTTTTTATGAGATGGAGTTTCACTCTTGTTACCCAGGCTGGAGTGCAATGGCAGGATCTCGGCTCACCGCAACCTCCCCCTCCTGGGTTCAGGCAATTCTCCTGCCCCAGCCTCCTGAGTAGCTCGGATTACAGGCCCACACCACCATGCCCAGCTAATTTTTTGTATTTTTAGTAGAGATGGGGTTTCACCATGTTGACCAGATGGTCTCGATCTGTTGACCTTGTGATCCACCTGCCTCGGCTTCCCAAAGTGCTGGGATTACAGGCTTGAGCCACCGTGCCTGGCCAGTTTCTTTTTAAATTTTTTTCTTTGACCTGGACTTTCGCTCATATTCCCCAGGCTGGAGTGCAATGGCATGATCATAGGTCACCACAACCTCTGTCTGTTAGGTTCAAGCATTTCTCCTGCCTCAGCCTCCTGAGTAGCTAGAATTACAGGCATGTGCCACAATGCCTGGCTAATTTTTTTTTTTTTTTTGAGACAGAGTCTCACTGCATCACCAGGCGCCAGGCTGCAGTGCAGTGGCGTGACCTCGGCTCACTGCAACCTCCGCCTCCCGGGTTCAAGCAATTCTCCTCCCTCAGCCTCCTGAGTAGCTGGAACTACGGGCACTCTCCACCACGCCCAGCTAATTGTTTTGTGTTTTTAGTAGAGACAGGGTTTTACCATGTTGGCCAGGATGGTCTGGATCTCGTGACCTCGTGATCTGCCCGCCTCGGCCTTCCAAAGTGCTGGGATTACAGGCGTGAGCCACCGCACCCGGCCTATCTTATTTCTTAATACTTAGTCGTGGCTTGCTACACTTTTTTGTTTTGTTTTTTTTTTTTTCTTCCCTGTGCTACTGCCCTCTGTCGACTGCTGAAACATCTATCTTTGGTCTCAGCTGACTCAAACTGGCATTCCAAAGTATACCACCATTACTATCAGCACTATATGTCATGGGAGACAGAAACCCATGTCTGGAAAGGCGCCTACAAGCAAGCAACAAAGATAAAGGAGCCAGTATTGTGCTCGTCTTTCTTTAAAAAAATTTAAAGCTGGCAATTTACTTTTTAATTGTTTTTAGGTTTCGTCTGGCTCACTTGCCCACCCTCGAGTGCAATGGCACAGTCTTGGCTCACTGCTACTTCTGCCTCCTGGGTTCAAGCGATTCTTCTGCCTCAGCTTCCCGAGTGGCCGGCATTCCAGGTCAAGCCACCACACCTGTCACTGTCGCCTTATTGAGTGCAATGTCTGGTCGCGTCTTCTGTCATTCATCGCCTGAGAGCGCAGACCCGTAGGTCTATCCATTCAGGGCGCTGGGGAGGAAACTGTCCAATTAGGTTCACAGTCGGAGAGGAAGGGGCGGCCCCAGGTATTGGCGGGGCCTTTGTTTCTCTGCAGCCAGAACTCCGGGTTAGTTCTTCGCTTCCCTGTGTTCTCTTTCCGGGAGGTCTCAGTGATTCTGCCACAGCCTCAGCTTCTATCACTCTGTGACTTCATGGTGTTGGAAGATTCATAGACTCCAGGACATTTCTGAAGCCGAGAAATGGTGAGTGTGCGGGGCCGGGCGTCACAAGCCTGGGGAGACCTCTTCGGAACCGGCCAGAAATGGCGGTGGCTGGATGGAGTCTGTGAGCCCCAATTTCCCGCAGCTCAGGCCTCTGTCTCCTCCGTGCAGGGACACCAGACGTCCTGTCCCGTTTCAGCACAGCGGCTTTAGCCCCAGCCCGTTGGCCTCTTTGCGCAGCTCTACGGCCGCAGCCCCGCCTCTTCCCCAGGTTGTGAGGTGGAAGTCGACTCGGCGTACAGGGCTCCTGCGTGGAAGGAGCAGTGGTCTGTGGGGTCCCCGGTCCCTACTTTACCTTGTTCAAAAAGAAACTGAACCACCATGAAAACATTCAAGAAATATGCGCCGGCGCGGTGGATTGCGCCTGTAATCCCGGCACTTTGGGAGGTCAACGGGGGAACGGATCACGAGGTGAGGAGTTCGAGAGCAGCCTGACCAACATGGTGAAACACCGTCTCTGCTAAAAATACAAAAATTGGCAGGGCGCGAGAATTCACGCCTGTAATTTCAGCACTTTGGGAGGTCGGGAGTTCCAGACCATCCTGACCAACATGGAGAAACCTTGACTCTACTAAGAATACAAAAATAACTAAATAAGCCCGCAGTGGTGGCGCAGGCCTGTAGTCCCTCCCAGCTACTCGGAAGACTGAGGCAGGAGAACGGTTTGAACCCAGGAGGCGAAGGATGCAGTGAGCCAAGATCCCGCTTCACTGGGCTCCAACCTGGGGCATAGCAAGACTTGGTCTCAAAAAAAAAAAAACCCTTAATAAGCACAAACACTGATTAATCAATGGGACAGATTCCGGACATGATTTGCGGGTTTGTTTTCTTTTGTTTTGAGACGGAGTTTCACTGTTGTTTCCCAGGCTGGAGTGCAATGGCGCGATCTCGGCTCACCGCAACCTCCGCCTCCTGAGTTTAAGCGATTCTCCTGCCTCAGCCTCCCGAGTAGCTGGGATTACAGGCACGCTAATATTTTATTTTATTTTATTTTTTTAAGTAGAGACGGGGTTTCTCCACGTTGGTCAGGCTGTTCTCGAACACCCAACCTCAGGTGATCCGCCTGCCTCGGCCTCCCAAAATGTTGGGATTACAGGCTTGAGCCACCATGTCCGATGGTTTGTGGTTTTGGGGCTACCAAAAGGTCTTGAAGAAAAGGCTTCTAAAAGGTGTGTGATTAAGCAAGGAAAATTAAATAATAGATTTGGTACAGTTGGGTAGTTGCTTCATTTGCAGTGTTCAGGAGAACATTTTTTGGTTATATAATCAGACAGCACATGTCTCAAGGGGGCCAGCTGAGACAAGAAGAATTGCCCCACTCAGCTCAGCTTGAATGGCTGACCATCTCAATTATGAACTAATAAGTTTGTAAGATTTGTTATACTTCAATAGCTAACTAATACATGCACCCAGTGCAGAAAAAATGCCAGGATTCAATGACAGGTTGGTTACTAGTTACCTTTTAAGAGTGGGCACCCTGTAGGTACTGATGTTTTCCCCTGAATTAAAGTTGGATGTCTTTTTTTTTTTTTTTGAGATGGAGTTTCGCTCTTGTTACCCAGGCTGGAGTGCAATGGCAGGATCTCGGCTCATCGCAACCTCCGCCTCCTGGGTTCAGGCAATTCTCCTGCCTCAGCCTCCTGAGTAGCTGGGATTACAGGCATGTGCCACCATGCCCAGCTAATTTTTTGCATTTTTAGTAGAGACGGGGTTTCACCATGTTGACCAGGATGGTCTCGATCTGTTGACCTCGTGATCCACCCGCCTCGGCCTCCCAAAGTGCTGGGATTACAGGCTTGAGCCACCGTGCCCGACCCTAAGTTGGATGTCTTGTAAGAGAACGTTGAGCAATGCAGAAATAGAGGTAGCCATGTATGCATGTGATTGGTGCTTATACTCACACGGTCCCCCACACCACAGGCGAGAACAGATAACCGCAGCCTGACCATTAGGGCCAAGGCCAAATAGCAAAGTAAGTTTGCCTTTAATCTATTTTCTACATATCTCAACATTGGAGGTCAAGAGTATGGACAGAACTGAAGACACAGAGTTTTATTCTCCTGTGGCACCATCATCCTCTGTTCTCTGTCTGCTCTATGGAAGAAAAATGAGCAACAGGTGGCCAGCAGTGGTCTCCTTGTGGTTATTTTATTTTATTTTTTATTTTTTTAAGACGGGGTTTCACCATGTTGGTCGGACTGGTCTTGAACTCCCAACCTCAGGTGATCCACCCACCTTGGCCTCCAAAGTGCTTGGACTACAGGCGTGAGCCACCACGCCCGGCCTATTTTATTTTGTTTTTTGTATTTCTTTTTTCCTGTGGTTATTTTATTCTTGCTGCCCTCAGCTCTTTCTATGGTCACTATGTGTTCCACCCTCAGAACTGAAGAGAGATATTGGTAGGGAGAGGCTCTGCTTCACCTCTGGCAGAAAAGGTTTGCTGGGGCCCTTCGCCTCCCTGACATCAGAGCTGCAGTTCAATGTGGCAGCCATTGGCCATGTGTGGCTCCTGGGTGCCTGGAATGGGCCTGGTCTGAACTGCCATGTGCTAGAAAAGTAAAATACAGAGTTAGTTTCAAAGATTTAGTTCCAAATATTTATATACTTTTTAATAATTACACTTTTCTCACACATTAAAATGATAATATTATGGACATATTGGGTTAACTAAATTGTTACAATGAATTCAACCTGTTCTTTGTTCCTTCTTAAACTTTGGATATTAGAAAATTTAAAATTCACGTGTGGCTCACATTGTCGTTCAGAGGATTGCCTCTCTTCTAAAATCTCAGCCTTCCTGCTCAAAAACCAGAAGCTGGGAGGGTCATAAAATCTGAAATTTTAAAATAATAATTATATTCTTTTTATTTGTAAATAACCATATAAAATATTATTTATAAATGCATATAACTTTACACACAAGTTGAAAGGCTAATATCCTCTGTGGTGGGCCGGGCTTAGCTTTGGAAGGAAGCCCTGCCTGAAAAGGCTGCAGCCTAGGCCGTCACTTTTTCTTCGCTCATCCAGCATCTGATTGAATCTTGTGTCACTCAGGGCCTGAGAGGGTGGGGCTTTAAACGTTATCCAATCATATCCAATCAACGACGCTGAGCTGGAACCGACCAATCAGGCACGCAGCTGGAGCAGGCAGGAAGGCTTCCGGGATGTCGGCGGGGCCTTCATCTCTCGCAGCTGGAGCTCCGGGTCTCATCTTTACTCCTCTATGTCCTCTACTCTTAGAGGTCTAATCTCTGTGGCCCTGTGACCTGCAGGTATTGGGAGCTGGACCCCCTGGAAGCCTAAAAATGGTGAGAGTGCCGGGTGGAAACTCCAGAGAGAGGGAAAGGGGCTGGTTGAAACCGGTGGGAAGTGGCTGTGGGGGGACTCTGGCCTCCCTGCACTCAGCTCCACACTCTGCTCCTGGAGTTTTTGCCCAGCTCGGCCTCAGTCCCCTTCAGCCATAAGATGGCGGCTGCTCTGACCGCCAGTCCCGGACGTCCTGTCTCTTCCCTGTGCAGTGACTGCCCTGGCTTGGAGCCCTCCCTGGGCGGCTCTGCAGCCGCAGCGTCGCGTCTCTCCCAGTTTGTGCGGGGACCACGAGAGGGTCGTACGGGGGAATCCCGACTCTGGGTGCGGGTTCCGAGTGTCAAGAGCTTTGTTCCGTGGGGTTCCGAGCTCCTCTTTTCTTCTGTTATGTATTGGAGTCACCCTAAAAATAATCAGAGTGATTCAAAAATGGTCAAACACCCAGCTGTGGTTTGTAATGTGTGTTTCATGGGCGGGGATTGAAGGAATGACTGTTATAAACTGCGTGATGAAGAAAACCAAATTCAGGAATTGGTTAGATACAGTTATGTAGTTTCTTCATTTTTAATATAAAGGGGAAAATTTAATGGTTAATTGGCAGTTCGTAGTTGATTAAGGCTGAATTTTGTTTTTTTTTTTTTGAGACGGAGTTTCGCTCTTGTCACCCAGACTGGAGTGCAATGGCGCGATCTCGGCTCACCGCAACCTCCGCCCCCTGGGTTCAGACAATTCTCCTGCCTCAGCCTCCTGGGTAGCTGGGATTACAGGCACGCGCCACCATGCCCAGCTAATTTTTTTGTATTTTTAGTAGAGACGGGTTTTCACCATGTTGACCAGGATGGTCTCGATCTCTTGACCTCGTGATCTGCCCGCCTCGGCCTCCCAAAGTGCTGGGATTTCAGGCTTTAGCCACCGCACCCGGCCTAGAAACATCTGTTTTTTAATCAGCACTGCCACTCTGCGTTTGTCACCTTCAAAATATTGGTTACTTATTTTAATCTGTCTTTTAGCTTTATATTCTATTATTTTAGTAGACCTTGAAAAGTAGAAAAATATTTACAAAGGGCATAAAAGAGGTGGGTTTAAAAAAAAGTCTAGGCTGGGCGCGGTGGCTCACGCCTGTAATCCCAGCACCAGGTGAATCACGAGGTCAAGAGATCGAGACCATTTTGGTCAACATGGTGAAACCCCGTCTTTACTAAAAATACGAAAAATTAGCTGGGCATGATGTCGCACGCCTGTGATCCCAGCTACTCGTGAGGCTGAGGTAGGAGAAATGCCTGAACCCAGGAGACTGAGGTTGCGGTGAGCCGAGATCGCGCCATTGCACTGCAGCCTGGGTAACAAGAGCAAAACTTCGTCTCAAAAAAAAAAAGTCTAATTATATACTGCATTCGTTAAAAAATATTTACTTCTTTTTTTCTTAACCAGAGTGAGTTTAAAATTTTTCTCAGGTGTTTTTTGTTTGTTTTGTTTTATTTTGGCTCAGTGGATTTAAACAGCATTCCAAGGCTTAGCTTTTAGAATGCTAGATACCAAGGGAAAAAATAGGGAAAATCTCTATTCCATTTTGACTGTAGAAAATGAATACATTTCCATGAGAAAATGTGGTAATTGGTGAGTTACATAGATTCATGAAAACATCAGTTCCTCATTTAGCAAGGTAAATTTGTAATAGTGAGTATCTCTGTTCAAATCCTGTTATCTTGCTGGCGCAGTGGCTCACACATGTAATCCCAGCACTTGGGGAGGCCAAGGCAGGCGGATCACCTGAGGTTGGGGGATGGAAATCAGCCTGACCAACATGGAGAAACCCCTTCTCTACTAAAAATACAAAAGTAACCGGGTGTGGTGGTGCATGCCTGTTTTTGTTGTTGTTATCTGTTTTTCTTTTTTTCCCCACTCAGATAAAATTAGAGTGTTGTTTTTTGATAGAGTCTTGCTGTGTTGCCCAGGTTGGAGTGCAGTGGCACAATCCAGTCTCACCACAACTTCCACTTCCTGGGTTCAAGCAATTCTCCTGGACTATAGGAGTGCACCATCATGCCCTGCTAATTTTTGAATTTTTAGTAGAGACATGGTTCCACTATGTTGGCCAGGCTGGT